TGCGCACCCCCTGCACCCTCCCCCTAGATCCGCCCCTGATTAACGAGCTGGATGAATAAAAAATAGATAAACAAGTAAAAAATGAAATAAAAATAATCAGCTTCTGAGTAAGTAGTAAAATAAAAAATGCGCTCTAACAGTTCATAGTCCCTACTTCCTACATGTGTGTCCTAATGTCTGCAGTTGTTCAGTACGTACCTCACATAAGCCTATAATTTCAGTGGTCGACTAAAACAATATTGCCTTTTGTTTTCAGGGATAGGGGCATTGTCATGTGCTGCTTGACCCAATATCTGAGGGAAGATGGACACATCAGTGCATCGCACCTCCAGAAAAGCTAGGCAAGCTAATACAAGACTTAGAACAGCATATATACCAGGGCAAAAAAAAATGTCATGGTGTAATTTTATCGCTGGTTCGAATTTTATTTTTCCTTGTTTTTGGGTATGACGTAGACAGTGTATGAGTGATGATGGCCTGATTGTGAGTTTCAGATTCCATGACTCTTTAGCCACATCTTGGCAACTTCCAACTTCCGGTTCAAAAGTCTCTCTCTTTTTTCTTCTTCTCCCTTTTGCAAGGTAGGTTTCGATATTTTACTTTGAAGTCACATCTCCACTGCAATTGTACAGGGGACTGAGGTGTATTACGGATTTTGACAAGGATTGTAGGCTTGTGTATAAAGAAATACTTTTTTGAACATGATGTATATGTGTCTATACTGTAAATTTGTGTATTCCTTTATCTTGGGGTTATACGTGTAGGATAATGCCCTCGCTACTCGATCATCTTAAGAATAACAACCGAGCGAGTTTTGAGAAGGCCTCGGTGCTCAAGCGTAATATAATTATACTTATCTTGTCAAGTGAAAAAGAAAAGGGAAGAAAGAAAAAAAGACGAGTTTACACAGGCATTTCATGATGACACCACAGAACAAAAAAAAAATTAAGTAAAAATTTTATTTGATAACATTCCTCCTAAATACTTGTATTTACAAGGTTTCAAGGCAAAACATATCTTAGGTAATAAAATAATCCATGAGCAAACTCTATTCAGACTGGTTTTTAACCAACATATTTCAGTTAAATTGGTAAAGAAAGAAAGCAAAAGAGGAACCGCATCTGCACTTCATCATTCAAAAATATACTTATCTGAAACAAACAGCGATTAAAAGTGTGCATACTCAATAAAGTTTCCTAAGCGCCTCACTCAGGCTAGCAGAATTAATGGCTCGCTCATTCTGTTGTCGCTTTTTTTTCTATATTGCTTCAAGATCTGAAGATAATTCTGTTCGGTGAGCAAGGAGTTCAATTAGTACTTCAAATGAAATAAGTCGCAAGTCTACATTTAGAGACAGAGAGTCGTTGAACATCCAGTGATCCCATTGTAGATGTACGTGTTGTTAAACGGGACAAACTGGTGAGTGATAAGCTTTACGATTTCTTGGGCTGCCGCACCTGAGCAATAAATATAAAAAAACGACGTTAATTCTCCATTTCAGATACGAGAAGGAACAGCAGTGTAGGAGCTGCTCGTAAGGTGTTTTCCTCATTGGTCGCAGAAAACAATAACACATCATTGTTTATCATTACTTCCCATTGTTTCACGGTTAGGGTATCGAACCAGTTGGCTTTTAGGGTTAGGAGAGCTGCCAGAAGGAATCTGGGCCGATTTAACGTTCGCAAAGACTTCTGGGTACACGGGGATAAAATAGCCAATCGAACAACAGCTGATCTTACAGCTGATCGGCGTGTCTCCGATAACGAAACAATTGCAGGCCACATTTCGGCTCCAGTTCCCTTCTCGTTTCTATGTGGCGAATATTAAAAATGTCCATTTCATACGCGAAAAGAGACCTATAGCTTCACAAATAATCTTAGCATCGTACTGTTGCCACGAACAACCTTGAAAGATAATAGTGAACTTACGCAACAGGACGGGAGAGGAAAGAAGATGTCAGACCTTGTGTGACAACCGTGACAATAATTTTGCTTGAAATAACTTTTCGCCAAACATCACTTTCCTTTAAACAAATCTTTTTGTAAAAACCCGAAAACATTAATGCTAAAGTGAAGATCACGACATAACATGCAAGTTATAGCCCTGTCACGTTTGTCACCCACAAACATTTTGCTGTCCTCTTTTTCCTGCCGTCCTGTTGCGTAAACTCACTAATGTCAAGTGGTAACAGGAAAACTAAGGACAATATTTATATCCTCCTGTACTATTTTACATTACAAATCTTGCGCCCAAAAAGTGTATTCGAGTAGATATTCTTAGAAACTGGAATGTCAAGTTAAAATCAGATGCTGCGACTGATGAAAGCATTTTTAAACTGAATTTCAAGTTTGTATCTGTTACTTGTTCTTGCCCATGATTTTCCAGAAAATATGACGAGGTGGGTTGCACCTAAATATAAAATGTCCCGTACAACTCAGCAGATTTTCCTACTAATCCAACAGTGGGGCGTAAGCAGGGGTATGAGTTTTCGAAAAGACACCGTTTCAGGAGACATTTTTTTTGCAATTTTGTTTTTTTCCCTTCCCTCAAAAGCATTTTTTGGCACAATCTGTGTCTTGTCTCACCTCCAATAAAGGCTGCAACAGAATGCAACTCGCTGGCTCCGTATCGACACCTAAAAGAGACAATGCACATTCTCAACACTGTCCGGCATTTTTCTCTTATGGTGCTTATGAGGAGAAGTTATTTAATAGCCAAGACATTGATTTTATATAGGAAGGTAATTTCTTTAATGAACGAAATTGAAAATTCGCAAGTTCCCTTTGACATTTTATTTTAAAATGCTATAAAAAAACACAACTAAATTGGATAAAACAAAACTATAGGGCAAAATAGAGAAAGCTCGAAGCGGAAGACTGTTCCCATCGTAAATAAATTAATAAAATGGCCTTTTCGAGTTTTTGGCAAATTTTGGTCAGTTTCTTCTATTCAAATGCTATTGGGAACGTATTGAAACACTAAAGTCAAAACAGTACTCAGGCAGGAAAATTTTAACAGTTAGTCTCGCAGGAGCATACTCACATTTCATGGACATATTCTTCTTTGATATCTGCATTTATAGACCACTCTTGAAGAACAGTGCTTAGGCAGGTCTGCAAAGAAAACAAACCGTCTTATGAAAACTGTGTGATTCGTCCCTGCTATTTTCAATCACTAATGTTGTTAATACACTTTTCTTTTTACGTAGTTTTGTAAGAATTTTGTTCCTGTGAAATGAGAATTTGATAGATAAATGATACGTGCTAAAGTGCTTTCCCTATATTTTTTCATTTGTCTATTTACTTACTTTATTACCTACAGTAATTGTTTGTCTTTCTTGAATTCAAGTAGCACAATTTTTTCTCTCTCCAATTTTTTTGCCACTTATAAATAAAGTGAATTCGATTTCTTTGAAACTTATCATGATTCTTCTAACTTGCTAAATTTGCCAGTTTAACACAAATTTTACCTGAATTGAAATAGATTTTGAAATAGAAAAATCTATTTTAAAAAATCTTATCATCAAAAATCAAAAATCTTATTTTTGAAAAAGATTTCTTGACCATATTAGATCAAAAAGAAAAAGGAAAATTCGCCGTCGTGTTTTGACGTCCTCTATAACATCTTGCCTAGTCCCTAGGCCTCAACTGTCCACGCGGCCTTTGCGTTTCGGGTAACGTGGACCGAGTGTCTCGGATACGTCACCGAAATGCAAGAAGGCCTCGGAAGACATCGTACAGGGGACTAGGCGTCGGACTAGGTAACATGACACTTTCATCGCAGTTGTAAAGATGACGTCACAGAAGTTTAATGCACCTGCAGAGTTAAACGAGACAATTCACAACCTTTTTTGCGACATTGCTGCAACATTCCGACGCTGTGTTACGCTGAAAACTGTCGTTGCGAATTGTCCCGTGTAACATACCTTAAAGGTCTCTAATAACGAGTTCAAAACGACTGAAATTTTCCAGCACCGTAAACCAACCCACCTTTAGCTTAACGACATCTACTTCCACCTGATCATCGAAATTACCTGAAACAGTCAACGGAAATAATTTCCCACAAAACGAAACACAGATTTAATTTCAGTATTAAGAAATTCTGTTTGATATCCAGCAGTTTGCTAGTAAGGCAAAGTGGTAGCCGCTCTAACGCCCCGTGCAAACGGACGCAACATTGTTGGCTAACGACTCCTAACATTGTTGCATATTACATGTTCCGTCCGTTTGCACACCCTGTTACATGTTGTTGCTTGTTGCAAAGTCTGAAACCGATCAAACGTTTAGCTACGAACAAACGGACGCAACAACTCCTAACATTATTGGGCCAACAACGTTGGGAGTTGTTGCGTCTGTTTGCGCGTAAGATAATGTAATTGACTAGAATTTACCTGGATATCTGTGGTATTGAGTATAGAATCTATCCACTGCTTTTAAAAGGAAGTAGAATACCGCGTCACTGTCTGGATCGTCAAGGTAACCGCCTAAAAAATGAAGAGCTTCATATCAGGGACGTAAACTTCCGCTTATAAGCCTCCCCTCCCCCCTTTAAAAGCTCCCTCCCCTAGTTGTAGGGCCATCTATCATCTATCAGTTTAAATTGAATTCTTGAAAACAATGAACTTGTGATCCCTCAATATTACTGAGTAGTGGTTTCCTCTAGTACTGTGTGTAATGGGTATCTGGAGCCAATAGGGACTGTTTATTGAAAAACCACAAAAGAATTCCATAGCGTCCTTAATCAAGGAAACTTTCGGCAGAGAACGTTCAACTTATGTCAGCGTGAAACTACACCAGA